ATGGACGTCTTACACGCTGTGCAATACATATTATATAAACGATGAGTTCATTACTTGATCTAATGTCCAGTACCTTACAGAAACAGACGGAAATGTTACCAAAGCAGTGGCGGCGCCAGCCTTCCAAAACTGGTCTGGTCGTCATTTTAACATTCATAAACGGATAATTCTGGACACAATTTTTGACGGCCAGCTTTGAACACTGTACCGGATAAGCTTAGCTATGAATTTCTCGTTTCTGAAATTTACTTTAAATTTGAAGTATTTGAACGAAATAAAATGATCGAATTTATGCCATTAGTAGAAATATTTGAGAGTTATCAAATCGTAAATCTATTTTATGCATATTTTGAATATGTTTAGAGTAGGCTACCAGATCCCTGTGTATAATATATTTATATTTTGATCTAATGTCCAGTACCTTACAGAAACAGACGGAAATGTTTACCAAAGCAGTGGCGGCGCCAGCCTTCCAAAACTGGTCTGGTCGTCATTTTAACATTCATAAACGGATAATTCTGGACACAATTTTTGACGGCCAGCTTTGAACACTGTACCGGATAAGCTTAGCTATGAATTTCTCGTTTCTGAAATTTACTTTAAATTTGAAGTATTTGAACGAAATAAAATGATCGAATTTATGCCATTAGTAGAAATATTTGAGAGTTATCAAATCGTAAATCTATTTTATGCATATTTTGAATATGTTTAGAGTAGGCTACCAGATCCCTGTGTATAATATATTTATGTCCTAAAGATATCAATTTGCTTTTGTATCTTAGGGACAAGTTCGCCATTTTTTGACTAATCATGCCTTAGACTCAGAAACGGGAATTTGTTTTAGCTAAGCCAATCAGTAATAGTGTTCACAGCTCACCGTCGAAATTTGAAACTTCAATTCCATGTGTGTCAAGAATTATCCGCGTTTGAAAGTTACATAGACGAATCGTCTCGTTTTGAGACACTGCCATATAAAACACATGTATAAAAACAGGAAAAAAACTTCCTAGTTTGAGATATTTGTAAAAGAAAACAGAGAATAAATTCTGGCAATAATCGTACAGCAAATATACACCTGTCAATTTGGCTATAAAGAGTACAAGTATGCAAATCAGAATAAAAACAGAATATTTCCTCTCCATTGAGCGGAAACAGCAAACTATGCTGGGGATATTTTTAATGAATTTCAACACGATATATTTTCTGACATCTGGTGGTAACGAGAACCTTGAGTTCACTTTGGTGCAAAATGATCGGCTACACAATGGCTAAGCTTCTTGGCACTGATCTTGACCTGACAATTCTTACCTATTTACAGCTGGAATAATAAAAACAGTTGACTTATCTAGTCAAGAATTAATACAAATGACTTATTAACAGCTGGGTAGACTGGAATAATAAGGAGAGATGACTTATCTAGTACTTATTAACAGCTGGGTAGACTGGAATAATAAGAACAGTTGACTTATCTAGTACATATTTACAGCTGGGACTGGAATAATAAGGACAGTTGACTTATCTAGTACTTATTTACAGCTGGGTAGACTGGAATAATAAGGACAGTTGACTTATCTAGTACATATTTACAGCTGGGTAGACTGGAATAATAAGGACAGTTGACTTATCTAGTACATATTTACAGCTGGGTCGACTGGAATAATAAGGACAGTTGACTTATCTAGTACATATTTACAGCTGGGTAGACTGGAATAATAAGGACAGATGACTTATCTAGTACTTATTAACAGCTGGGTAGACTGGAATAATAAGTAGAGATGACTTATCTAGTACTTATTAACAGCTGGGTAGACTGGAATAATAAGAACAGTTGACTTATCTAGTACATATTTACAGCTGGGTAGACTGGAATTATAATGACAGTTGACTTATCTAGTACTTATTTACAGCGGGGTAGACTGGAATAATAAAGAGAGTTGACTTATCTAGTACTTATTTACAGCTGGGTCAACTGGAATTATAATGACAGTTGACTTATCTAGTACTTATTTACAGCTGGGTCAACTGGAATAATAAGGACAGTTGACTTATCTAATATATATTTACAGCTGGGTCAACTGGAAAAATAAGGACAGTTGACTTATCTAGTACATATTTACAGCTGGGTCAACTGGAATAATAAGGAAAGGTGACTTATCTAGTATATATTTATAGCTGGGTAGACTGGAATAATAAGGAGAGATGACTTATCTAGTACTTATTAACAGCTGGGTAGACTGGAATAATAAGAACAGTTGACTTATCTAGTACATATTTTCAGCTGGGTAGACTGGAATTATAATGACAGTTGACTTATCTAGTACTTATTAACAGCTGGGTAGACTGGAATAATAAGGAGAGATGACTTATCTAGTACTTATTAACAGCTGGGTAGACTGGAATAATAAGAACAGTTGACTTATCTAGTACATATTTACAGCTGGGTAGACTGGAATTATAATGACAGTTGACTTATCTAGTACATATTTACAGCTGGGTCAACTGGAATAATAAGGAAAGGTGACTTATCTAGTATATATTTATAGCTGGGTAGACTGGAATAATAAGGAGAGATGACTTATCTAGTACTTATTAACAGCTGGGTAGACTGGAATAATAAGAACAGTTGACTTATCTAGTACATATTTACAGCTGGGTAGACTGGAATTATAATGACAGTTGACTTATCTAGTACTTATTTACAGCGGGGTAGACTGGAATAATAAAGACAGTTGACTTATCTAGTACATATTTACAGCTGGGTCAACTGGAATTATAATGACAGTTGACTTATCTAGTACTTATTTACAGCTGGGTCAACTGGAATAATAAGGACAGTTGACTTATCTAATATATATTTACAGCTGGGTCAACTGGAAAAATAAGGACAGTTGACTTATCTAGTACATATTTACAGCTGGGTCAACTGAGGAAAAGTGACTTATCTAGTATATATTTATAGCTGGGTAGACTGGAATAATAAGGAGAGATGACTTATCTAGTACATATTTACAGCTGGGTTAACTGGAATTATAATGACAGTTTACTTATCTAGTACATATTTACAGCTGGTTCAACTGGAATTATATTGACAGTTGACTTATCTAGTACATATTTACAGCTGGGTCAACTGGAATAATAAGGACAGTTGACTTATCTAGTACATATTTACAGCTGGGTCAACTGGAATTATAATGACAGTTGACTTATCTAGTACTTATTTACAGCTGGGTCAACTGGAATTATAATGACAGTTGACTTATCTAGTACATATTTACA